AATTAAATAAACTAGAATTATATTTCAAAATTTTTTTAGAATCTCAATTTAAGTATTTTCATTCGGAATTTATTTTGTGTACGGCTTGTAATTTTTGATTTAATTTTGATACGAAAAATGAAGTAAGGTTCCAGTAATAAAAAATATAGTTCAGCGGTGTTAAAACATCTTGAAATGTATGCAAATATTATTCTATTAAAGCGATATAGTACCCTAAAAATCATTAAACTGTCGAAAACTTTTTATTAACTTTTTTGATATCTCAAATCTTTATAAACATGCCTGCAAAATTTCAAAGCTTTACTTGCATTTTTTATCAAGTTATGGAGCAATACTTGATGCTAGACAGCAACTACCACGCCCACATTTCTGATTATCTGCTAGAAAAGAGCCTGATAAAAAATGAATTAATTACTTTTCTTCCACGCGTAAATGAGGCTGACATTATATATGCACTAACAAATCATTTCAAGAAAGAATTGTTGCAATTCATGCAAAAATTCTAGTTTGTGAATTGTTTATTGGGAAAAGAAAATGGATTTGGTCAAGATTTAAAAGTTGTGCATGCTTTTTATATTATTATTAATGAAATTAAACTTCAAAACGGATTCTTCCAAAGCACAAATACTAAATTTCATTTTGATAACTCAGATAATTAAAAATCTAATTCGCAAAAATAGAAAACTCTCCCATTTTTATATATTTGTTTTTGGTGATATATATATATATCCCATGTGTGTGAAATTTAACACTTTTATTATTAAAATATTTTAAGATATTTATTTAAACAAATGCACATATGCAGTTCTTAGATTTTGATACATTTTACCTATAAATTGCTATTTGATTTTGCTTTCATTCGTGTACAATATTTAACATGCGAAGGCTTTTAAAATCATAGAAATAAAAATAAAGGCATAAGCATCTTTTGTACATGTTGTGCATTAGCTCTGAAGTGTGTGTATTTTTTAAAATATTTATTAAGATAAAGTTTTTTTATGAAATATTGATCTTTCATTCGTTTTATTCTATATATTCATTATGGCAGTGTACTGTTTAATTATTCTACATTTGTGCAATTTTTTATGGTAAGCAGTTTTAAATAAGCTAATTAACATTTCATAGAAGTTTCAGACTATTCGATGAATATTATATCATACTATTCGTGGAATGAAAACTTCAAACTCATATTTCTCCATGTTGAGTTTTTGTACATATACTGTTATTCAAACCCCTAAGACTTTTTTGATAGTTGAAGTATTGATTTGAAATTTTTTATAAATGTTCTGAAATATATATTTTGTAAAACTGTGCATGGAATTAGCTCTAACATATTTAGTACTTTTTCAAAATAAATTTAAAATCAAAATTAATGTTTTCTTTTGAGAATTTTTGGAAGTTTAACTATAAAAAAATTAATAAAAATTAAAGACCCGCAGCAGAAGCATGTAAGGCGTCTTAAGGTACTTGGAAAAGAATTTGAAAAAAAAGAGACATATTTAAAAAAACCGTAGAAATTTTAAAAATGTTTAAAAAAGTTCAAAAAATTTAAATTTTATAAACATTTTGCAACAAATTAAAACTTTTTTTGTATGGAATTATTATTAAACATTAACCTTTATAAAATACAATTAAAACCAAATATCAAATATTAAAAATAAAAAGAATTGTGAAGATGGTACCATATCGCCTTAATAGCGCTATAAAATATTATGAGCTGCTGGTGGCGGATATCGAAATTTCAATTCATGGTCAAATGACAAAGGAAGGCATTTCACTCGAATCACGCTATATAAGCAGCTTAAAATACTAAATCGTCAATCACTTTGCTTCGTTTTTTTTTGTGTTTAATTTAGGACTGAAAGCACATGACTTCTCGAAGCTCGCAATTTCATCAAGAAGCTATCTCAGTCCTATTTGTTCACGCCTTTTTATAATTTTATCACAAGCTAAATCCTAGTTAAAAAAATTAAAAATAACTAGTATATCATATTCTTCTAAGCTATCTAAGGTTTTTCAACCTCCCGAAATTGTTTTGGCAGTTTCCTTTTAAATAGGTGAGTTGTGTTTGTGTCCATGCATATTTAATTTGCTTTTCAGAAGACTAGTTTACACAATTTATGAGTAAAATTAAAGTTTAGGATATTCAAAAGACCTTTCCTGATTTAATAACGTTTAGTAGATTTGAATGAACAAATTCATTGTTGTAATTACAAATCATAATTAGTTTTAAAATAAAATTATCATTGGTTAAGCCTGAGATGTCTTAAAGACCTAAGGAAAGAATTGTTTTTGTGATTAAATAAAATGGGGTAACTGGGAGGGGGGATTGAAATTCAGAAATCACTCTCTCACATATTTTTGAGAGTCTAAATTACCAAGAAATAACTGAACCAACGAAAAATAATGAAATTTAAATAATTGCTCGAGTAAATTAAGTTAAAATAATGTTTAAACTTGTTAAATCCTTGTAAGAGACATTTAAAGCTGAAAAATAACATCAAATATTCAGTAACTTTAATTTGTGAATATCATATGAAACGATGAATATTTGCTGAATTTTTTTTTACGTATTATTTCAAGCTTCGTAAAAAGAGAGAGAGAGTTTCCAAGTTTTCTTATGCATATACGAAATAGTTCTATTTCCTTTTTTCTGTGTCATTTTTCGTAAGGAACATTAGCCAGTTTTTTCAGTAGTGTACAGTACTAGGCATTAGTGATGGTATGCGACTCTTTTGCAGTCTTCTTATTGTCTGCTTAGACGACTTCACTAAAGTCTCTCAAGTCCGACAGCATAACCTTCCCTGCAGGTTTCTGCACCTTAGTCTTCTTGGGAGGGGAGAGATAAGTCGCACTGTACTTCCCTTACCTACTCATCTATATTTGGTCTCTGGATCCTATTCATACATTCAATATTCTTCTATATTACCAAAATTCCGGGTTACCAAAAAATTTCACCATTTTCCTTGACGGGGTGCGCTCTGTTTGCTTCTGAAAGTAAGCTAATACTAGTGGAACCCAATGTGTTGACACCCTTGACAAGTACAATCTTCATGAATAATTTTTCACACACAACTTTAAGTAAAATTAATCTCATTCATGACCATTTGGATGAATACTTCTCGGTCTAATATTCTGTAGGATGAAGTTCTCCAATTTCTTCACTGTGGCAACATTTTCATGTGTGTTGGTCACTTCCATGTGCGTTTTTGAATCCTTTGTGAGGGATAAATGGCTTGATTGAAAATTCTTTTTTTTACCTCACAGAGACGGATAATAATATTCGGGAATGTAAGACAGAAATTATTTCCATAAGCACTGTAATTTTATCTTGGATTTACCATGCAATGCTAACTTTTCAAATGAAGGAAAATCGTACTGTGAACCTTCTGTGTTTTCTATATTGCAGATTTTGAAATCAAACAAATCAACAGTAATAGCTCTATTTTACAGCTTTAAGTACAAAAGGCTTGCTTAATATGCAGAATAAATTATCTAGAGGAATGTCTGTTATCTCTTAATAGCAATTAATATTTTTTGTTATCCTTACGCGCTATAAAGCCTTTAGAATACCTTATTTTTAAATGTACTTATTTATACCATATGTTATCAAATATACGCATATATATGTATCCTTTTAGAATTATAAGCGTACTTCATTCATTTATTATGTATATTAAAAGTGCTCAAGATGATTTCATAACTAAAATATTTTTTAGTTCGAAGTAATCCTTTCCCATGAATTATAATAATAATTTTATTTCTTGGATAAGTTAACTTGAAGGTTTGTTACATTTACTTGTCAAAAATGTAACCTTTTGATTTGTTCGTTAATTTTTGTTTTCACATATATTTCAGAAAAGGATTTGTCAGAAACATTATGACAGTTTCTACCGCAACATAAAACGAAAATTATACCTGAATGAATTTTTTCTAGCTATCTGGTACACAATATTAGAGACACTTCGTATTTTAGAGACATGCCTTTTATTCCAAGAGTTAAAAATGCTTCTTTGGGGGGAAGGAATAAAAAAATTATGAAATATGCATACATTCAAGGACAGCTGATATCTAACTATTTTAAAATGTCTCTCCCTGAAGAGGAATCTGCATATTTACTTTTCTGTGTGCTGTTTTGACAAGTAAATTTTGTGAGTTTAAAAATTCTTTTAAATGTTCGTTTTTCATTCTAAAATGGCATGACTATAAAAGTAACATGACGTGTCTAACAAAATAAATATAAAGAAATAAGGGAAAGCTTTCGTAATATCTGAAGGTTATTTTATGAACTGAAATGATGGATTTAGTAGGAGTTAGAAATATTTAAAATTTTTTCTAAAAAGACAAAGATGAACTAGATGGATTTTTAAGAGTTATTTCTCTAGCAGAGTTTTGTAATGAAGGCAGAGATTAAAATAATGTGAAACAAGGTATAGTTTTAACTAAGTGCTCTATAGGGAGCCATTGCTTAAAAGTTAGTATAAAATGGAGCGCAGTTTATTAATTGGGATAAAGAACCATTCTATTGTGATTAAATTTTTTACTTTTGAAATACTCTCTCCTTTTGCTTCGTATCTTCTCATTTTAAAGTAACTACAGGTACAGCAAGGCAGGCAATTTTAAAATTTGTACAACTGATTAAATTTTTATAAATAAAACACTAATAAAATTAAATTTTAATTTAACAAATATTTAAAGAGAAATTCAACGATTTTCTCCAAGCTTTTAATTCACGGAAATCAGAAAACTTGAGTTTTTTTGGATCAGTTTAACCATTTTGATCATATTAAACTCTTGGGATGTTGTTGTGCGTTTCATCCTGGGATATATACAAAAGACGATGGATAGATGAACATAAACATACAATACAATCACAGAAGAATATAGACTTCAGAACAAACGATGATCCCAGCATAGAGCAGAAGGGATGTGCTGCTTTCCATTCGAGAAGGAAAATCATTTCAGGGGAAGTCCGACTTCTTTTTCCGATGATACATCCATGCCTTAATCGGGTTTCGAACCCGAGCCCACTCGATTACAATTCGAGTGTCATAACCACTGTACTGGCTGAGCGGCAAACTCTTGTGTTAAGTACAGGGTGGCCATAATTAAACTGCAAGTGTTCATTGGGTGCTGGAGCGAAAACCACTGAAAATATTCCAGTGAGATTTGGTATCTACACGTTTCAGAATAAACCCAATAGATGGCGCCGTACCGTATTTCAACGCCCATCGGTGGTATAAACAACTTCCAAAACCGAGAGACAGAGCATAATGACATTCTAAGAGGCATATAAACAATACAAAACATTACTTACAGTTTATCAAAATTCCATACAATTCGCTTCAGTAAGTGAATTTTTGCAGCATCATGTAATCACAAATTAATGTAAATTAAGATCACAAATTAAACAATCCATAAAGACGCTTTGGAAAACCATTATGTATTCAATGAAATTATCATATGGTGTGTTCAATATGCAAACTACCAGATGCAACCACATACTGAAAAAGTAAGACAGCAGGATCCACCGTCACTTGCAAAGCACGTTCCTTCTTATTCAGTATTGATTGACCATTACTCAATATGATCTTGTTGTTATACTGTTCGATGAGCTTAGAATTTGCATATATGCCGTCGATAAGCATTGAAACATGGCATAGCGCCATCTATCGGGTGAAAATGCCGATTTTTTTTCTTTGCATATATGACTTGCGCATGTTCTGAATTGTGTAGATACCAAATTTCACTGGAACATTCCCGGTAGTTTCTCTCCAGCACCCCTTGAACACTTGCAGTTTAATCATGGCCACACTGTGTATGTAAAACAAATGGTTTCATAACAATATTTTCCGCCAAATTTCCCTCAGTTTTAATACCAATCATTGAACAAAAGCCAAGACCAACAAAACTATTATATAAAGCACTATTTAAATAAATATTTTCTTTTATTGGACATTCATTAACTTCTTGCATATGAAATACTGGTTATACGAAGATAAATAGCTAAAGAAGAAAATGAAGCATTAGAGAATACAGCACAATGATATTTCCGGTGTCTTTCTTCAGATTCCAATTTTCAATCAGTATGTATCCTTCTCTCCACTTCCTTTGTTTATTCATAAATAAATCTATCTTATCCTGATCCTAGGAATGGAGGAAAATTGTTGCGGGACTGTTCCACCATGCTCCACTGACACCACCAGTGGCCATCAGAATCAATCTCTGCAATGTTCCCTGCCGTGTAGCAGATGTCATTCTTTTGAAGTCTTCAAGATGATACTTCTTTCGCTTCTTGTTTCCTTCTTTTGAGCCACTACCTTGGATGAATTGTTTTTGTTCTATAAAAGATAAAAGGACAATTTCGAGCTATTGTATAAGTTTTATTTGTAACGATATTTTTCTTTGTAAATATATCTTTTATGGTGCATTTCTTTAGATCTAATGCGAATTTTTATTTACATCATCTTTTTCATATATATAAATCTGTACTTATATTAGCAAAATAAAGTTAAATTTAGTGTTTGTTAATTTTTTTAAAGAATAAATTTTAAGCATTCTGGGAGCTGTAAAATCTTTCAAATTAACATAATGATCGTTGATATGATAAGAACAATAAAATAATTAATTAATATGTTGTACCAAATTTGACTTTGAAAGTGAACTAGAGAACTACTTATAATATGAGTGATTAACAGTATGATTATTTAAAACAGACTAAAATTAAAATGATTACCTTATTTATTCGAATTTAAACCACCATGGATTCTGAGCCACATCCCAAATTTTCAACACGTTTTTGTGAAAAAATAAAAAAAAATTCATAAAATGGTTTATCGACATCTGATATTTATTCGAAATTAAAATTTTTTTTAAAAATGAGAACTAATAAGAAATGAATAATTAATTCATTTTACCAGTATTAAGGACTTTTAATCCATAATCCTATCCTAAATCCATACATCCTATCCTTAAAATCTCTGATTAAAGTATGTATTATGGTTCGAAGAATATTCAGTAAAAAAATTGAAGATTTTTATTCAATAGAATGTTTATAAAAATGTTCTCTAAGAATACCTATATTTTTAATTACACACACACACACACACACACACACACACACACACACACACACACACACACACCACACACACACACACACACACACACACACACACACACACACACACCACACACACACACACACACACACACACACACACACACACACACACACACACACACACACACACACACACACACACCTATACATTCAAGCTGCATTTTTTAATTCTTTCATTAAATTCCTACTATGTACTTGTTCACTATCTCCCTATATATATATATCTTGTTCAAATTTTCAATCGTTAATAAAATGCTTTCTATTAATCCATTCATGTTCAAATACATTTTTTAAAACTTGTAGTGGATGACACTTGATGTTAATACAGTTTTTTCAAATATTAATTCATTAATTAAATTAAAAAATGAAAAAATATTAACAAACAAAAATAATGATAGTACAGCATATATAGGAAGGAAAATCTTTCGCGTCGTGTCCCGATAGCGCGTTGGACTTCTAATGGGTTGGAATCCTACTTGGGATGGCCTAGTTTCTGAGAATGTGATTTCTTTTTTACTATACTATTTTATAGGAATAATTAAATTTAATTAATGAATAAAAGTAACAAACAAACAAAAAATAGTCCAACACCATATATAGAAAGGAAAATGGAAAATTGCTTTCTATTTTGTCACTTAATATTGCGATTCTCTCATATGTATATACATATTTATATTAATTGTAGCTATTTAATAAAAAGTAACTAAAATAAAATTCATCTTTGTTGACCTAAGTAGGAATTCACTTAATTTTTTTTGTATTACTTGTTTTTAAGTATATTCACCGTATAACGAACCTCCACTTTTTTTTTTACGAAGAAGCGTGAAATGTAGGACAGTTATGGTTTGGTATTACGATATATATAGAAGCCTAATTTTTTTTGATCCTCATATCTTTTTTATTTTTAAAGCTATAATTTTTACACTCAGCGCAAAACGTGCATCCGTAAATTTGTATCCTATTTTGTGTTCGTTATACGCTGGAATTTATGGTAATTATTTAGGTAGTGAAAAATTGAAACCTACGAAATAAAAAGGTCTTTCTTAGGAAGAAGATTGAAAAGGTCTTTAAAACACGATTTAGGTTAAATATTGAGTCGTACGGAATTTCTCAACAACATTTTATACATGTAATAAATTTTAAACATCTAAGCATTGGCTATTCATTTGTAATATGATGAGAAGAAACTATTTAAGTTATGTATTTTACAAAAAAGAAAAAAAAATTGAAAATGAAATATGTTTTATTGTTTGTACTGGTGCAGCTTCCATATTACAAAGATAAATATGACTGCTATTTATATGTCTGTATCTTTATCAAAGGTATTTTTTTGTATATGTATTATATTAGAGCTGCAAAACGAGTTGTTTACGATGAGTCTCGACATTTCGCCATCATTCCATTTCAAAATATCTTTCTAAGAGCAAAATACTATATCAAGAAACATGCTTAAGTAGTAACATTTTCGAAAGTAAACAGTTTCGTCTGTATTTGTTATAGTTACGAAAACTTTACTCTTAGAGGCAAATTTCATATAAATAGCAACTATTTAGATTTAAAAAGTTATGTATTAGAAATAAAGTGATATCAGATTCTTCCAAAACATTAAAGGAATACATTTTTTCAAAAAAAATAATAAATAAATATAGGAGTAAAATGAAAAAAAAAAAGATCAATAATGCGGTTATGAGGTTTTATGTATCACATTTTGAAAATAAATACTTGATATTTGAAGGAAATAACACATAGTTTCAATATTGTTTCAAAGATTTATCATCACAGTCCTAACAACCTTGAATCATGATTGAATATAGATATAGTCAGAATGCTTTGGAAAAATAAAATTTATTTAAGCTCCAAATAGTTGATGTGAAGATAAACCCATGAAATAAAGCCAATTACATTGAATTGATACAGAATAAAAAAACTTCAATGTAAAGAAGTTTTATAAATTGATAAAAAATAACATCTGACTATGGAAGAATTATATATATTTCTCAAAGGTCTAAAAACTTCTACGAACTAGTCGCTATAGGAAAAAAAAGAAAGAAAAAGTTCTAGATGGCATTGGAAATTTACTGCAGGTGTTTTTGAAGATATAGATTTAAAGGTAAATAAAAACTCAATCATGACATTGAGGTCTCTTGTGTTTGGTAAATTCCGACAAATCCCTGCGCCATTTTCTATTTGAACGTAAAAAAAATTCTCTGTGTTCAGAAAGGCAAGAAGAAAACACCTGATGGTCATAGGAAAGGGAAGAAAAACGATTCCTTTTCTTTCTGTATTGTACTTAGACCAGAAATCAGAACTGTATAACAATCAATATAATAAATATCAATACACGTCTTTTGAAAAACTTTTTTTGAAGTTGGAAGAGAGTTTTCTCAACTTCCAAGGATTACTTGATGCGTAAATATGTACATTTGAATGAAAATATACTGAGCGAAATTGTGTGCGCATGTATTCGTACATTTTTTATGTTGTGTAGGAATCTTTGGCGGAGAGTTGATCTTCGTGGAATATCAAACATATTGGAAATATTTTCCCAAAATCTATTGTCATCTTGAAAAATTTTACATGTTTAATATTGAAATATGTATTGGATAGAAATCTGTAGAAGACAAATGCTATAGCAAGTTTCCTGAAGGAGTAAGTAGAGTATGGATTTCTTTTTTTGATGGTAAATGCTGTCGTGAATTCTAAATATGTATTCTATTCCAAGCTGCATTTTCTAAACTGAGCTTTGAACTTTCATTTTTATGCCATTTACATTTATGAAATTTATTTTATTTATAAAGTTTAAGAATAAATGCTTAAGTTTGTGGCAAGCTTCCGATCACGTCAGTGATCGGAAGTTTTATGGAAGGACCCAGGTTTATGAAAGGAACAGTCATCATTAAAAACAAAAACTTTTATTTCGTAACCTTACAGTTACTATAAACTTT